AATTTTTAAAGCATGAATAAGATTGTTTTTCTATTGTGCTCTATTGAGAAGTTAAATACTAATTTTGGTTCCTTAACTTTAGTATTTTGCACAATTTTCATTTCTAAATTTTTTATGCATTTTTTTTATCCTACAACTATAAAAAAATGTATTTTTTTAGTTATTCGATCAATTAATCCATTAAATATATTCATATATGCACATTTTTAGTTTCTAAACTTTTAAATTGAGAAAAAAAAATGTGCATATATTATAAGTTGAGGAACTTTACAATATGCATAATTAAATAAATTTAATAAACTAACTGATAAAAGAATTTAAGAAATACATTTTTCATAATTAAGGAATTAAAAATAGTATATGTATATAAAAAAAGTTAAGGAATAGAAGTTGTGCAAAATCTTAAAATTAAAAGATCAAAATTGACATTTAACCTTATTAAAATGACATAATCTTGAGTGTTTTCTCACTTAATTTTTTTTACAGATGTGACTGATAAATATTATATATAATATATATAGTACATTTGCAGTGTTTTACGTGAAATAAATAAAATTTAAGGCCCTAAAGCACCTTATATTGTATGATTCTTTGAATGCCTTCCAAGATATTTATGCCTTAATGTGGTGCAGACGGAGCAATATAGAATACTTTTAGCTACAGAGATAGCGAAACCACCTGAGAAAAGATAAGATTTTGTTAATTTATTAAGGTATCCTTATAAATAATGAAGATTACCTTAGTCTAACGTATCTTCCTATGATTAGTGTAACATAAACGATCACTTAATTTAATAATAAACAATTTTAAGATATTAATGTTTACAACATGCTTACGCTATTATTAATTTGTTCGACATGCAATTTTAGTTTTTTTTCTTTAAATCCATATACATTCATTTATCTGACACCACTTACATTAGTTATCTCATCACCCTTGCTACAGTAAATTGTCAGCCTTCCCAAATCCACAATCCCTACCAGCTTAGATAGAAAAATTACCTCATTCTGAGAGGAAGTCTTGGTTAGATGATTTCCAGAAATCCAACGACAGCTGAGGTTGTACCTTTGCCCTTATCCAATAAAATAATCTATATTTGATCAGCTCTAGCATTTCCTCTTCACTATCTTGTACATGCAATTTTAGTTGAATTTATTAATAAAAAAAATAAGTGTATATATTATTTTTTAAATCAAATATAAGATTTAAATTTTGCGTCTAACACTTAAAAAAATTTAATTTTTTTAAATGAATCAAGGTGATCATATAAAAAGCATTCCTTTAAAATCTACTAGTGTGTAATAGACATACATAATGTCCCACGTATATAAGCCACTTCTCAATGAAGGTTTTCTAGGCAAAAAGGTTATGGACAAGTTCCATGGGAAGAAAACTTGCATGAGTAACGAGAACAGAATTAATGAGAATTTTCTTTAAAGTCTTGTTCTTTAATTTGATGAGTTCTTTGACATGAGAGTTTATGATAAATCGATTAGAATTCGAAAATCATTAATGTACTCCCTCCATTCCACTCTAATAAATGTTCTGCAGGATTTTTCTTGTTTCATTTTAATTGTCATTTTTACTATTTAATACAGCATTAATTAATTATCATTTTATT